TTTAGGTTTTAGGCAGTAGGCAAATCTCATTATTAAATTTTTAAAAAGTATTCATATGAGCAAAGATTAAATAAAAAACAATTAAGCCAAAAGAAATTATTTTAAGTAAAAAAATAAGCCTTTTTAGAATAACAGAGTTGGAAGGGACCTCGGAGATCTTCTAGTCCAACTCCCTGCTCAAGCAGGAGACCCTATACCATTTCAGACAAGTGATTGTCTTGTCTCTTCTTAAAAGCCTCCAGTGATGGAGTACCCACAATCTCTGAAGGCAAACTGTTCCACTTGTTAATTGTTCCCACTGTTAGAAAGTTTCTCCTTAATTTCAGGTTGTTTCTCTTTTTGGTCAGTTTCCATCGTTTCTTGTCTTGCCTTCTGGTGAGATAAAAGCTAAATAAGCTGACCTTCTTCTTTGTGGCAGCCCCTCACATATTGGAAAACTGCTCTCATGCCACCTAGTCCTTCTTTTCACTAGACTAGTCATACCCAATACTTGCAACTGCTCCTCATGTTTTAGTCTCCAGGCCCCTAATCATCTTTGTTGCTCGTCTGCACTTTTTCCAGAGACTCAACATTTTTTTGTATAACATGGTGACCTAAACTGGATGCAGTATTCCAGGTGTGATCTAAGGTTTTATAAAGCAATACTAATAGTTCTTGTGATCTTGATTCTATCCCTCTGTTTATGCAATATAAGATTGAATTGGCTTTTTTTGGGGGGGGGGGGCTGCTGCTGCACACTGCTGGCTCATATTTAAGTGATTGTCCACTAGGACTCCAAGATCCCTCTCACAGTTACTGCTTTTGAGCATGTTTTCACCTAATCTGTACCTGTACTTTTATATTTCTTGTCTAAGTGTAAAACCTTACTTTTCTCTACACTGAATTTCATTTTGTTGGATAGGGCCCAATGGTCAAATCTGTCAAGATCCATCTGAATCTTGAGCCTATCATCTGGTGTGTTGGTTATTCCTGCCAGCTTAAGGTTGTCTGCAAATAATCTTGAATCCAAACAAAGTGGATTCATTAGTTTTGTTGACAGGTAGATCTATCACCTCTAATTACCTAGATTGAGTTTTTTTGTATGGAATTATTCTTTTGAAATGAGTTCTACACATTTCATCAGATAACCTTACTTCTGCAAGGCATAACAAATACCACAAAAAACAATCTTTTCAGAGCAGATACTAAAAATTAATAAGATTCACCTTCTAGGAAATCCTGGTAATATTAGCAAAAGTGTACATTCGGGTTTATTGCCACTTGGAACCCTTAAGGCTTTTTCCCACCTGCACCTACCTATGACAAAAAATAACCCAACGTATTTTTTTCCTGCCATTATCTCCACAATACTGCCTTTATTTCATAGTCCATGCATGAGACAAGCTTAAACCAAATTTAGTTATGCCAGCATTAAACAAGTACTGTAGCTTCTGATATCATCCAAGGATATCCTTGAAATATATAAAATTAGTTAGGGGGCTGAGACACTGGCTGTCAAGATACAACTAGGAATAGTAATGGGGATCAAAAAAAATGTCAGGGGAGTACTAGATAGGGTTTTTTTGCCATCCTAAGGGTAAGTGAAGAATACTACGGTATTAACAGATACGACCTTTAGTAACAACCAGCAGTGAGAACAGGAGACACATTTTCAGTGTTTGATGTCTGGCCTCCCTCAGGATTACCTCTGTGCTATTTCGACGCAAATTACCACTCGAGGTGGACTATTGTATGCTGACCCAATTTTTCAGAACGGTTTTGGTACCAGAAGCTAAATATAGCTTTAAAGTGCACGTTAGGCTTTCTTGGCCCATTATTGGCACAATTTTCCTTTCCAGGAGGGACACTTTTGAAACTCCAGGACTGATCCATGCTTTTTCGGTAAAATCCGCGAGAGAGTTAAAGACACGGGGCGCCGAGGGAGATCAGCATCCTCTGCTCTAATTTTGCTTTCCAACAGACAGCGTAGACCAGCAACTCCCGAGAGTCGCTTTCTTCCCTCTACTTCAACAGATTGCAGAGGAAGAAAACGACCAGCGGCGACTCCCAGAAACATCAGGCACCCGCCATCTTAAATTTCCCGAAATGCTCTGCCCGCGTGGTATTTTGGGTAGCTTAAGATGGCGGGCGCGAGGGCAAAGGAAGGAAAATAGGGGGCCAGCGGGCGGCGTTTGTTCCGTTCAGAGGCCGGGAACTCGGGATTTATGACCTCACCCATCTAAAGCCGCCCGGGGAAATGGCTCCGAACTCGTTTGGAACCGGCGTTAAGGCTTCGGGAGTTCTCAACCCGTCCGAGCGTTCTTGAACCTTAGAACCAGACTCATTTACGGGCAGATCCTCTCCAAGTAGGACGTAGAAAATGTCCGCAGCTCGAAAGCTCGTTGAGTTCGCTCAACGCGTCCCGCTCCCAAAGACCCTCGCGGGGCTTCCTTGGCGCGCTACTCAAACTGCGGAGGCAAAATAAAAGTATATCTGATTTTTGCAAACGCCAGGATTCCTGTGCCCTTTGCAGCAAAAACTCTAGTGCCGCTCTCAGCTACCAGGCCCCTCTGTAAGTCTAGCAATGCACAGAAAATGAAGAACCGCAAAGATTTGCGGGGGTGGGGTGTATGCATAGGGGTATTGGGAATTGGATGGAAAATTTCCAACAGCAGTTCCATAGCTGCCATATTATGAGAAAAATCACCTCCTGAGGTTCACATATAGCTGAAAATATTTATGCAATAATCACCCTCATTTAATGTAAGTGCTGGACCTAAAGTCTTCCAGGTTTTGATGTACGGGCGAATCTCACTACTGTAATTCAGCTAATCGGAGATTTGGATTGCCCTTGCCACTTTGAGCAAGTCTTTAAAGGACAGATACCTTATGCAGATTATAATCGAAACTTTCCAGTAATCATATATTTTGCTGCTTTTCTTCTCTATGAAAATCGTTAATAGGATATTTTCAGCAGCGTTTTGATTTTTTTTCTGAGCAAACGGGAGAAAAAACTATAGCTGTGATCCAGGTGCCTGGCACAAATGCGCCAAATAATTTGACAGAAGTGGGCCTCATGATGGTGGTTAGCAAAGCTGGATAATTGTTCAAGACTGATCAGTTGCTTATTCCCTGCTGACCTAGCTATCCACCACGTTCACTGAAAAAATTTCAGAAGGAATAGGCATAGTAGCCACACAAAGAGGAGCCAATACATTTGGTTGAATTTGTAATATTCTTTTTCATATTATGTTTATGATGTTACTGTTTCCAGATATCCATTTTCTGTGTTTAAATGACGCCTATCTGGATGTAATATGGTCTTACTGAACCAACAGTTACGGCATATTGTACTTTTATTTTACCCCTCCTTTCAGTCTAATTTATTTCTTGTGTAATGAATTGTGGGAAATGTAGTTTTTTCTGTGTAAAGGAAGTGAAATATATTCTCTTGATAAACTAGGGGGTGTCGGGATCTGTAGTAAACTCTTGGGCGTGGTGCATGTTGGGATCTGCAGTCATTTTGGAGGGAGGGCTGGCTGCAGAAAGATCTTCCCTCCTCCGGTTGTTCCCGGTGTGGGGAGGAGCCTGGTCGGTGAGTGGTTAGAAAAGGGGAGATGTAGGGGTTTTTGTTTTTTTGGTTCTTTTGCCAGATTCCTAGATTTTCAGGAAGAACTGGTGAGATTGAAAGGAAAATGTATTTCCCATCTTTCTTTTTCTTATGTGATTGGCTTCAGTTTGCCCCCCTCCCCAAACTATTCATTTTATCTGGGTTTAGGTAAGGCATTTTTCAATTAATATTATTCTGTTTCCATCCTCAGTGGTTGTGCCAGCCTATGTATGGTATTGCTTTTGCTGTATATGGGATGATTTTATTTTCTTACCTGCAAGCCTAGTGTCAGCTTTCAGAGAGGGAGGAAAACAAATAGGAGGATGGCAATAGACCTCTGTGATTTAGGTCACAGCCTTTGGGGTCTGGTGATGCAGATACTGATCACTCTCTTGTCCATCCTTGTACCCCTTTGCTGACTTGCCTTCCATTGGCCCCCTGGCTCAAAGCAAGGAGTTGATGAAGACAGCAGCAGCCTTTTCAAAATAATTCAGTTTGCTCTAGTTTTTCATCCCTAGAATGGAATATATGAGGATGCTGCTCCACCCAAAAACACGTTGGTAGTGAAGAGAAAGATAATGCATAATTGGAGCATGCAGAGGAGCAGGGAAGCACAGAACAGCAATGGCAATCTTGGGCCCTGGCACAGCTGTCTATACATGCTTTTCATTTCTGTCAGATCTGTTTCCATCAATTCATTTGCTTCACTCTGGGTCCCAGTGATATTTATATTCAAAACTCTGGAACGCTGTGAAGTTTCTCTCTAGGCATTTTGTAAAATGCTGAAGCAATTACTTCTCTTGATAGGAAGATACTTGTCTAGGCACAAAGATGCCAGTCATGCCTCTGCACATCTTGCCCCAGCAATTTATCCCTCATCAAACATTTTTATTTCCCAGAATGTCTCATTCAGGAAGACTTCCGATGCAGCACTGTCATTGCACCAACTGAGAGTTGTCAATGGAAAAATGTTTTCAGCTCTTCATAACTTCCAGCAGAAAGATTTTTTATGGATAAATTGGCTGTGGAACTGATGGAAATTTAACATCTGATTTTCAGTTTCCATGTGCACCTTGGATGTTTACCATAAAAAAAAAAGCTCTCTTCCCCGTTACTATTTCATTGCAATGCTGTTTTATCTAGTCCCAGGTGTGTGGTAAATCTAGTAATATAGAGTAACATTGGGAGAACTGTTACTGTATATAAATTATGGAGAGGGTGGAGTTTGCAATACTTGAGACATAGCACCATAACTATTTGAGCAGAAAAAAAAATGCCTTTTGGGCCTTTCAGTAAAACTGGTTGGACCAGTCAGCAATCTTTTTGACCTGTTGACATTTCCTGATTATATTTCCTCAATCTTTCTGGAGGAGGAGTTGAGCTTTGCCACCTGTTGCATTCTGTTAGTGAAATTTCTCCCCTGAAGTTCCAACAAGATATGATTCTGGAACGATCAAACAGGTCTGTAGGGTTATTAATTTCTATTCAGTGTAATGAAAAGAGTAGGGGGTATTTCCTAGTGGTAGATGAAGTATTAAATCTAGTGTTTTCTGAAAGAGCAGGTAGAAACTATTTGGTGGCGACTGCTGTTCGGAGCCAAAGAACTTATTCATTGATAAGGAGAAGGAAATTGGATTGAAAAAAATTACTGGAGGTGAAGAGATGTATGTTACATAGCTTCAGCACACTACCTTTTATGTTCTCATTTGCCACCTTTTAGCACCATTTTGTTCGGGGGTTGAAATTTCACTTTTAATTAGTTTAGCAGCAAAGGTTTAACTGATTGTTATGAGTTTATTTTAATTGTTGAGAACAAATTCTGTGAGTTGGGATCACTTTGTAAGTATACTGCTGCTTGTTATTTTGGTCTTATGTCTAGCTTTAAAGATATCATTATCTTCAAGAAGCGTAGGATAGTTTTGTATATGAACAACCTCTGTGGCAAAGGATTTAGACTTAACTTGGATGGAACTTAATGACTAGCCTTGGTCAAGTCATGTCTTTTATCCTGACCTACCTCGTGGAGGTTTTTGCCAATAAAGTGGGAGATGGTATTAATGCTATTCTGAACTCCTTGGAAGAAAGGCAAAATAATAGATTGTAAGCTATTTTATTTTAATAATACATTTAATAAGGTTTTAAATCTATATTATGTTAACCAAAAATGTCTTAATCATTTGGCAGTTCTGCTTTGTATGTGTCAGTTTCTCATATGCAATTTCCTCTAGCTCAGGTTTAGGCAACCTTGGCTCTTTTATGACTCATGGACTTCAACTCCCAGAATTCCTGAGCCACATGGCTGGCTCAGGAATTCTGGGAGTTGAAGTCCACGAGTCATAAAAGAGCCAAGGTTGCCTACCCCCTGCGTCTAGCTCCATCAGGTATCCAAGTAACGTATTTCTTGAAAAGACCACAGCCTACTTAGTCTTGTTTCCTGTTCCACTGCAGAATTTCTCAGTTATCTGACATTCTGTCATGCTGTTGCAGCTCTTTCTATATTTCTTGTTTTTTTCTTGTTCTTCTCCCATAGACATGGGCAATTACCACAGTACTCAGTTGTGTGTTCATTATCCCCATCCTTTTGTGTTGACCTTATGTTTTCTTTCCAAGGTTCCAGGGAACCTCAGGCTGATGCCCATCTCAGCTCGTCCACGCTTGCAATGGGATGATTCTCTGAATCCCTTGAGGATTAGTGTGGGCAGTCTTCCAGTGTTGGCGTCCATGACCAAAGCAGCTGACCCCCGTTTCCGCCTGCGTTGGAAGGCCATTGTGGTGACCACTCTGGCCCTTGTCCTTGTGTTGCTTCTCCTTTGTTTCCAGCGTTCATCCCCTGTGAACAGGCCAGTTTCTCTCAATGCTCATACCTGGAGGTTCAATGTTCTATCCAGTGAGAGGTATAATGACACTTACCCACTGTCACCATCCCAGCGGATCCCAGAAGGTGTGCGGTACCGTATTGGACTCATTGCTGACCTTGACACAAACTCCAAGGGTCCCAGTGAGCATACCTGGTTCAGCTACTTGAAGAAGGGTTATCTCACACTGTCAGCCAGTGGGGACCATGTGTCTGTTGAGTGGGATACAAAGGACCATATATTGGAATCTCACCTAGCCGAAAAAGGACGTGGCATGGAGCTTTCTGAACTGGTAGTCTTTAATGGTAAACTCTATGCTGTCGATGATCGAACCGGTGTGGTCTATCAGATTGATGATACGAAAGTAGTACCTTGGGTGATATTAACTGATGGAGATGGCACAATTGGCAAAGGTGAGCTCAAGTTTAAGTTCTAAGTTTTATACTGGAAGGTTCCCTAACCTTTATGTAGTTCCTCAGTTTCTTAATGCCACAAGTAAATCTATGTGCAGCAGAAACCTTTAAGAATTCTCTAAATATCATGCCTCCTTTTTGAAGTTTACCCAATTTACTAACATTCTGTTACATTGTCTAGTAGAGGTGAAACTTCTTTAGAGGTAAAAGAACCATTTTTTAAAAAATTGTTTGTTCTGCCTTTTGGTCTAGAATCACCCCCCCTCCCCATCTTCAATTTTTTTTAAAAAAATATATATACTATAAACATAAGGGAAAAAAATGAGAATATAACATTTGAAGTGCTTTTGATTTGGAATTGTTGGCTGTGTTTTTAATATATTAAAATAATATTGAAATGTTTATATTAAAGAATGTTATAGCACTGTTCGTGTAGCTGTAATGCTTTTTCCATTATCCACTTTGTTAAAAAAAAAAGTCAATGGGAACTTCTGTTTCCATTTTATATATATGCATGGACACCTCAATGGAAGAGTGCTATAGGATTTTATACTAAATTATTTAGTATGTCTTGTTTCTCACACCTTTAACGATTCAGGGCAGTTTATAGAAATACCATTAAAACTGCAAGAAGAAAAAGATGGAACAGTTTTCTAGTATTATGATTTTAAAAAAAACTGATAAAAATGAAGTCTGTTGTAAAACATTGATGAAATGTATTGAGCTGTTATAGGTCTGTTTTATAAATTATTACCAAGGTCATAACATTTTTTATGTGCAGAACATGATGTAAATCAGAAATTCTCAAACATTTCGGTCTTAGGACCCCTTTACAATTAGTCCTTGAGTTACATCTCTAATGGAGACTGCCTATTATGGTTGTAAGTCATGATGGTTTTAAATTGGATTGGTCATGTGACCAACCCAAGCTTATGACCTTTTTTTACAGGAGTCATTAACTGAATGCCTCAGTTGCTAACTGAACCCATGATTTGCTATGGGCTGGATTTGCTGAAAACCAGAAGTAAATGTCCATTTTCAGCAAAGCCATTGTAAAACCTGGTCATGTGACTGCAGGATGCTACAAATGGCCATAAAAATGGCCCAATGTGCAGCCATACGACCACCGGGGGGGGGGAGGGTAGGCAACTATCAGAACTTTGAATCTGGATTGTAAGTATACAAAGTAGGTCTGTCATAACTTTGAATGGTCAGTAAGTGACCGGCTGTAAGTTGAGGGTTATTGTGCATTCTTAAAATTATTGAGGACACCAAAGAGTTTTGGTTTATGCAGGTTATATCTATTGCTATTTATTGTATTAGGAATCAAAACTGAGAATTTTTAAAATCATTTATTTGACCTCGCAGAGCCCCTGAAAGGTTCTTCTTCACATTCAAAAGTTCTCAGAACCCGTGTTGTAAAGAAATAGAAAATATAGAAACAGCATCAGATGGTTTTGGAAAGTATGTTACAATTGTAACTTACATTGGAAGAACAAAGAGTTATTAATATCAGAGGCTGTCTGGAAGCACCTGAAAAATAAGAGACAGACTGGTGGTACGGGAGGCAAGTTTATAATTCTTAAGGTAATTTGGTCAAACTGTCTCAAAGATGCTTTTTCCAAAAGGCAACTGGACCTTCTTGGTTTTTTTTGTTTGAAAATGTTTCACTTCTCATCCAAGAAGCTTCTTCAGTTTTAATTGACTGGTGGGGAATGGAAGGATTTAGAAGTGAAACATTTTTCAAACCAAAAGAGTCCTGTTGCTTTTTGGAAAAAGCACCTTTGGGATAATTGTGACTTGGATGTTTGAGAATCTCCATAGACATTTGGTCAATCTGTATTTTACTCATGCTTAGAACAAAATCCTGAGAACTTTAATTTTTCTCCTAAGACCAGACAGATCCCTTTCAATCTACTGGGGAAACTGTGACACCTATCTTAAGGGGGATATTTCAGGTTGGATAAGTGTTGCCTTACATTGTCTCACATTTTGTTCAGGATTTAAGGCAGAATGGTTGGCAGTGAAGGATGAGCACCTCTATGTGGGAGGCCTGGGCAAGGAATGGACCACAACTACAGGAGAGGTGCTCAATCAAAATCCAGAATGGGTGAAAGTCATTGGCTACAAAGGTGACGTGGCTCATGAAAACTGGGTGGCCAATTACGATGCACTCCGGACTGCAGCTGGGATTAAATCACCAGGTGAGCAATAGACAGACTTCTGTTACAACATAATAAACCTTTCAACAGCTGAATGGTATACACAATTCTGCTTCTAATTCTTTCTTTCTTGTAAAATGAAGGCTTATACATACTTAATTGTTGGAATTAAAAAGGCAAAGAGGATTTGGATTTTGAAAATGAAAAGTATGTGTGTCCTTAGAGAAGGCAGAGTATAATGTCTATTCTTGTGCTGGCTATGATTTACCCAGATCAATACCTGTAAAAATACCTATTACCATCATTGTAATCTTGTAATAGTCTGGTTCTTCTTCCTTGGAACTTTACCAGCTTGTGCTGTGTTGTTTTCCTGCTTGAGCAGGGAGTTTCACTAGAAGACTTCCAAGATCCCTTCCAGTTCTGTTATTCTGTAAGTCCTTCTGGTTGTGCTTGAGGATGTCTGTCTTGTTTACGCTTCTCAGGTTACTTGATCCATGAATCTGCCTCTTGGAGTGAGAGACTGCAGCGTTGGTTCTTCCTGCCACGCCGTGCCAGCCATGGGCGCTACAATGAGCAGGAGGATGAGCATCGTGGCACCAACTTGCTTCTTAGTTCCACACCAGACTTCACTGATATCTCTGTGAGCCATATTGGTGATATCATTCCCACGCATGGCTTCTCCTCCTTCAAGTTTGTCCCTGACACTGATGATCAGATAATTGTGGCATTAAAATCTGAAGAGGACGCTGGACATGTGGCAACCTATATCACTGCCTTCATGCTGGATGGACGTTGCCTGTTACCTGAAACTCGCATTGGTTCTGTCAAATACGAGGGTATTGAGTTTATCTAATTAAAAGAAGTCATACTTTTAAGGAGATCATATAAACTCCTGAGAGGTGGCAGAAGTTCTGTTCCTGTTTATTACTCTTAATTCTACTTCTGCTGCAGAGCATTATGGGACATTGAAGTGCTTCTCTTGACATAGTTTTCACCTCTGTAAAAAGTACTTTGCAGTTGTTGCTTGTTTCTGTGCTGACCCCTAGTGGTACAAAGTGTGTAGTGCCTGTACAGCCTTTTTTTCTCTGTTCAGTTGCTTCCTAGGATTTAGCCCATTCTCTCCTTTATTCAACCATGCTATTTGGCAGAGCAAACCTAATGAATTGCCTTATTCTTCCCTCCTCCCTCCTGTCCCCTTACTATTCACACGTGCCTTTGCTGAGAAGAGAAAGTCTTCAAACCCAGTTATTCAGCAAAGATATTAGTCAAACATTTGCAAGGTTTCCCTTTGACTCTGCCTATTCCTGCAACAGTCATTTTAATGTTGTCTGCACAGGTACCTCTTTTTGATAGGAAATTGCAGGTGGGACTTTGGCCTGTAATCAGGAAACTTTGTGATAACAGCAGAAAAGGAGCTGACGCCATAACTTGGAACTTTTTGGAACAAAAGGCTCACCTTCTGTTTGGGAGGGTTCGGTTCTGCCTTTATCTTTAGAGGCAAAGTGATCCCTTTTTGGTAATCTTAATATTGAGATGTCAAGCTTCATATTGGTAAACCTAAAAGATATATATGTCTCATATATATATATATTAGCCATAATTGGCTTTCCAGTTTTAAACATTACACTTTCAGGATATGTACTGGAGTGTTCAGGTCATAGTTTTCCATGATCGTTCATTTAAAAAAAATAGTTTTCAGTGTTAGGAAACAAGATCTTACGAGAATATTGTAGCTGGAATCGGATTCTCAAGTTATTCCAGCTACAGAATTTTAAGTATTCTTCATTCCTCCCTTATGTGTAATAAAATGGGCAAGTGAGCTTCCATGCTTCCATGTCTCTTCCTCATTGTTGGACATTTCCTTGAAGCTTTATTTCAATCCTAGCACTGTTATCTTATTTTTCAAATAAATTATCAACAGCTTTTATATTTTGAAAGTTACCTGAACTTACCTATACTTACCTATACTTTTTAATTACCTGAAATGAAACGAAAAATGTGTTGACAGTCATAACGTGCCAGCTTTTAAGCAGATAAGATAAAAAATATATGTTTAAGAAACACAAATATTAAGGAACACTTTGTAGGAAGAGGAGCTACAGAAACTCCAAAGAAATGTAATGATTTTTTGGGTATGCCAAAATGTATATGGTTGAAGCCTATGCCATAAATGTGTGTGAATATAAAGGAATGTGCTTTATACCAAACCATTGGTGCTCATCGTGCTCAGTATTCCCTATTCTAACTGGTAATTCCCTTTAGAGACTGATGCTAGGCTAATTTGCATGGAAAATATGTGTCCTTACCGTTGAATGGCAGTTTCGCTTTCACAGAGCATCATATAAAGTCAGATGCAATTCTAGTGAGAGATTTACATAGATGTTCCCCAAATGCTTCCACCCAATACTTTTGGTTTGTATCTTAAGAGCATAAGCCATAAAGTGATGCATACATAAGAAGGGTGGAATAGAAATAATGCTATATTTTGAATATTGTGTGAAATTCAGAAAGGCTGATCACTAGATGGTGCTACTGTACTTATTTGTGACATAGCCATGACATAAAGAGATCTGTCAACTTTCTTTGGAAGGATCAGAACACTCTTTGGGGGCGTGGCTAGCAACAAATATGTCAAGTCCAATCAGTGTTTGTGTGTGTCAAGTCCAATCAGTATTTGCCTTTAGAGATATTTAAGATTTAGATCCTAAATGTAAGAGTCCAAAACATATAAAAATAATAAATGTGTTTGGACACACAAAGACAGATTTTGATAACTGCCTCCCATTTTTGTATCGAGAATATTGCCTATAAAGTTGAATTGGTTTTTGTAATATGCTAATAAGAGTTAAACTGGTTAAAAATGATTACTTAGTAAAAATTTAAGGATTTTTTTCTTGGAAGCTCAGATATGATGATATTTAAATATGAGTTCATTAGAATCACCATAGTTCTTTGTTTGACATGTCTTTCTTATTAAGTGGTTGATAACAAGAAGCAAAAATAATGATTTGAATTTTAGTTAGTAGGAACTTTTTTGTGAGCAAAATGCCAGAACTCTGGAAAAACGCAAATATATTTCTGATTTCTAAGAGAAGGAGAAAAGGTTTCATTCTTTTTCAAACACTTTGCAAAGGAACCTACATATTAGTTAATTTAAAACTCTGGCAGAAATACTGTCCAATTGTTAAACATCCTCACCTCTGCACAAATTAGCAAATTAAAGTCATGGTAATGTGTTTTGGTTTTTTTAATTTTGAGTCTGTCTGCCTCTTTGTCCCATGGATGTTTGACTTTTCCTGCTGAATCAGCCAGCCCAAACTCAGTCAGCCAGCTAATCTACAAAACAGACTTCTGATTAATTTCCAAATTAAGCTCTTGAGCCGTTGATTTAATCCCATCCTTGTATGTCCAAAATTATATTCTGTGTGATTTTACTCAAAAATTTTAAATTTAAGTTCAGATTTATTTAAAGAAGTTCAGCAATCCAATTTTTCCACATGGCTCTACCATCTTTGTATGAACTGATTGGCAGGTTGCTCCCTCCTATGATCTCTCCACTCTGGTGCCCTCTAAATTTATTAAACCATCTCCCATGAGCTTCAGATAGCATGGCTAATGATAGTGTTGGCTTGGAAGTCATTTACAGTAGAGGGGACAAGTTTGGGAAAAGCTACTCCCAGTACTGTGTCAGCATTTTTCTCTCAGTAAATAACCTTATATATCCAGATACAGAATCAGGTTCCCTGTGGAAGTTTTATTTTTAAAAGATGATTTTTTAAAAAAAGTTGGAAATAGCGAATAACCAAATGTCCTAAGAGAGAGATTATCTTAAAATCTTGTTAATCAGATTTATTGCAAGGGAAAAGATTATAGATTCTTGCGAATAGGATACGTATGTATGGCTTTTATCACTGTGTGTGTGTTAAGGTGTGTTCTTCTTCATGCCTTTGATCCCTTTTCACTTCTGTCTTGTTTTACTGGGGAGTTAGCTAACCATTTAAGATATATGAACAGGATGTATTGGTTCTTGTTTTCAAATATCCTAGGTTTAGACAATCTGCTTTTTAAGAATAGTTGGAGATGGGACACATATTGACAGATAGCAGAAGAAGTCTGATTCTTCCCAACCATGCCTTTCGGCCTTTTTTCCCCACTTACCTTGGTGCGGTTTCTGGTTATGGGTTATATAGTACTTTTCTACCTTTATGGAGGAAAGAAATATCTTGTCCTAATTCCTTACCCTTGATACCAACTTGTAAAAGAGATAGGGCTCTCTCAGAATCTGAGTAATTTACCCATAAATGGCATGGCATGATGGTGATAAGACAGAAAATATAGTGAACTCTAGCATCACTCCTGGTCTTGGTAACTCTTGAGGCATGTAGCCAGTATTTATTTGTTTCTTTCTTTGTTTATTGAGAGCGCATTGCTGAAAAAAGGGAAAAGAAAAAAATAGAAAAAAAAATACACAACATGAATAAATGGCATTTATAAGCAGATTATATTTTTCAATATTTAATTAGTTTTAAATAATTGAATATATTTTTTTTTAAACTCCACATCATTGTTAAAATCCAAGTAATGTATCAGCAGAATATAGATCATAGAATGAATTAGGAGTTGTAATAATGTCTGCCTGAGCAGTTGATCTATTTGAAGGTTAAAATATTAAGACTTTTATGTTAAGAGAAAACCAAATTTGGATATGGTATAAGCCTCTATGTAGAATTACAGTTCAAAATTGATTTCCGAATTGAATTGAATTCAGTATAATATTTGCTTTTAAGCTAGGATGTTACGGTACTTTGGATACTGAAGCAGACTGCCACAAGTTAATTAGCATTCTTCAGAAGGTAGTGTACATATTTTGCATAAAGACTCATATTCTTGTAATAATTACTTATATGCAAAACTAATTAAGTATACTTTGTGGGAATATAAAATTTAGTAATATTTACTTTTTTAAAAATTACAAGTTTGAGAGAAAATTTAGCTTTTTTTTTTTCATTCTGTTGTAAGTCGTTCCCCTAAATTGCCACCAAATATAGAAAAATAAACCAATTTGGTTGTTACCTTTCCAACATTTTTTAGAAAATGAAGGGTCTGCTTTAGCAACTAATACTGGAGTAATAAATGTCCATTTATTTATTTTCTTAGTAATGACATAAAAGTTTGTAGTCTGCATTCAGTATGGAAATAGCAAATCTTGGCAACTTTAAGATATGGACTTCAACTCCCAGAATTCCCCCAGCCAAATGGTCCACATATCTTAAAGTTGCCAAGACTGAGAAACACTATTTAATCATTTCTGTTTTTATAAACCAAGATGAAATCTTTTGATGAGAAGAGAAGTTCTTGACACTGTTGAATCTAATTGATTATCCAGGATAATCTCTTGTTTCTTTAGCAATAAGTAAGTTTCAATTTGCCTGACTTGTTGCCATTTTCAAAATATTTCTTTTGACAAAAATCCACTACTCTGTCTCCTTTGGAGGAGATGAAAACAAATAATCCATCTTATGATTTAAAAGTCAATGTTATTAAAAATAAGAAAAAGAGGACGAGGGAGTAGAATTTTATTTCAGCTTGTCAAATACACATAAAGCTATAAACAGTTACAGTAATCCTGTATTTTGGCTTTAGGTGATCATATTACAATTGGATGGACTAAGATATTTACCGCCAGTAAGATTAAAAATAGTGCTCAAACAGCAATCTCTCATAGAATGTTGAGAGGATTGAAACAATTAACCAACATTTAAAATAATGCATATTATAAAATAAGGAAAATCGATTGCAAATTATTGCTTATAAAATTTTACCTCAATCAGAGGGATTTCTCCCATTTCACTTGTCCAGCTAGTTTGTCCTGAAATTATAGAAATAAAGATGAAAAGGTAAAAGATTAAATGAAGGTCTTTGAGTCAAGTTTTAATCTTGGTGATAAAACGTTATGTTTTGTTAATACATGGGAATAACATGGATATGATATGAGTCATCCAGGTTATGGTTGTCCCAAACTGAAGGAGCTTCTTGGATGAGAAACGAAATGTCTTCAAGGGAAAAAAAAAGTCCAGTTGCCTTTTGAAAAAGCACCTTTGAGAAGTACTGTAAGTAATATCTGAATTAAAGTACTTACTTTAAGATTATTCACTTGGCCAAATGAAAAAGCTAAGGCTCTGAGATCTGGAATAAAATTCAAAACATATTAAGCAACTTCTTTTCCTTTTTTCCATCTGTTCCTATCCAAAATTTGCTCTGCAATATAATATCTAGGATTGATTATTATATATTTGCATATATACAGTATATGATACACACCTACACACCTGTCCTGGGCATGATATTATGAAATACACACCAAAGCTTATTTTGGGGTGAGGGACCCATAAGTAATAAACACTAATTAAATGAATTCAAGTAGTTCTGATTTCAAATATAGCCGCATATACAGCGGTGCTTAACAGTTTGTGAACCCTTTCAAATTTTCAGTATTTGTGAATGAATATGACTTAAAATGTGGTCTTTTCTCCACACATCCTAAAATTAGATAAAGAAAACCCAGTTAAATAAGTAAGTTACAAATATTAGTCTTACTTATTTATTGAGGAAAATAATCTAAAGCTGCACATTTGTGTGCATCAAATTTATGAACTCCGAGGGTTATACTGTATGTTCATTTTCAGATGTTTCAGTGAGATGATGATCAGGGCTGTCCTGAGTTTTTTAAAGAACAGAAATCTAGGCATTTGCTATCAAAGTCTGGTCTTCACAGCATAGGCTTGTGGCAGTATGTCATAGCTTAAACAAAAAGCATTTGATGTTCACCAGGCTGGAATAGGTTACAAAATGATTTCCAAAGAGTTTGGACTTCTTCAGTCCACTGCCATGCAGATTGTGTACAAATGGAGGCAATTCAACCCCATTATTATCCTCCCCAAGAGTGGTTGACCAACTAAGTTCCCACTAAGAGCAAGGTGTGTAATACTCCAGGAGGGCTCAAAGAATCCTGGGTAAGGTTTAAGGAATTAAACAAGGGCCTCTCTTGTGTTGGCAAATGTCTGTATTCATGAGACCACCACTGAACAAGAATGGTGTGCACAACAGGGTTACACGGAGAAACGCTCCAAAAAAGCATGGTTGTCCATCCACAGTTTGCAAAAGACCACATCGATAAGCCCCAAGGCTATCGGAAGAATTAAAATTA